GTTTCTCCCTGTCTTAAATCCTGATGACTGGTTCTCTTCCTAGCTCATAATTGTCCTTTGTAGCATTTTTTTCCCAGAGTAAGGCAGGGTTTTTTTTTGTTTGTTTTGCTTTTTTGAGACAGAGTCTCACAATGTCACCCTTGATAGTGGTGTCACAGCTCACAGCAACCTCAACTCTTGGGCTTAAGTGATTCTCTTGCCTTAGCCTACCAAGTAGCTGGGACTACAGGCACCCGCCACAACGACTGGCTATTTGTTGTTGTTGTTGTTGTTATTGCACTTGTCATTGTGGTTTAGCTGGCCCCGGCCAGATTCGAACCTGCAAGCTTCAGTGCTTGTAGCTGGTGCCATAACCATTGTGCTAGGGCACAGAGCAAGAGTAAGGCAGTTTTTTTTTTTTTTTTTTCATTAAAAACCTATTCAAGCAGGTATCCTTTCTTCCTCATGATTTCCTTAATGGTGTCCAAGAACTTACCTGCTGCTTCTTGGTAGGCAGAAGCTACTGCTTCTGTTACCTTGACATTTTTAAAGCAAAACTTTCTAAAATTATCAAATCATTCTTCGCTGGCATTAAGTTCTCCAGCTTTAGGTATTTTATCTTCCTTTTACTTTAAGTTATACTATGAGTTCACTTTTTCTCTAATCATATTAGAGTCCATAGCAATCCTGTACCTATGTAAAAACTGCATTTTCAATATGAGATAAAAAGGTACATTCTTTCACAAAAAGTGCACAGTTTTCATGCCTGTTGCTGCAGTTGCATAGATGACTTCATGAATTTCCTTTTTTTTTTTTTTATAGTAGTCCTTATGCTGGAATCACTTACTTTGAAATGGCAGACAGCTTCAGCTGCAGACCTCAGTCTGCAGTACATGTCAAGCAATTTAGCTTTTTCTTATAATGTCAAAGCTTTTCTCTGCTTCTTGGAAGCACTTCTAGTATCACTAGTGGAACTTTGTATGGATCCCCTGATGTTATTTAAGGTTTGTTGTGTTGAACTGAACACAATGAAAAGTATGTGAGAACCGTGAAAAACACTTTTTACTGCAATACAGAGTTTACCAAAGAGACAACTGTGCACACGGAGACAATTAGCATCACGTGGTGGCATTTTAAGTGAATACTTGAAATACTTAAGGTTGCTGCAGTAGGAGGTGGCTGAGAACTCATTGCAGTAGTGCAATTATGATTTAATAGTGCATCTTTACATTTGTTTGTGTTTATCTCAACTGCAAATGGTCACACGTATGTTTGTGTGCTAAAGTTTTGATAAATTTTAACTTCTTATAATCAGTTTGTATATATTTTATACACAATAGATAGGCTGTAAACGATAATAGGCTATTATTTATAATAGTCTGGCAAATGAAAATAGACTAGTATCTACACATATTTTATGCAATTTTTTTTTTCTTGAGACATAGTCTTATTTTGTTACCCTCGGTAGAGTGCCATGGCATCACACCTCACAACAGCCTCAAACTCTTGGGCTCAAGTGATTCTCTTGCATCAGCCTTCCAAGTAGGTAGGACTATAGGCACCTGCCACAATGCCTGGCTATTTTTAGAGACAGGGTCTTGCTCTTGTTCAGGCTGGTCTTGAACTCCTAAGCTCAAGCGATCCACCTGCCTTGGCCTCCCAGAGTGCTGGGATTACAGGCATGAGCCACCGTGCCCGGCCTATGTTATGCATTCATGACATACCTAACTTTTTCTTGATTTTTAAAAAAATTTTTAGACTATGTGGTTTGAGTGTTTTCAGTTTGTTGCAAATCTCAAAAAAAAGTTCCAGTATATTTATTTTTAAAAAATTCTGTGTGCAAGTGGACACATGCAGTTCAAACCTGTGTTGTTCAAGGAGCTACTGTAGAACTAGTTTTGATAAGACTGTTGTGACACTGATAGTTACTGCTGGGGATGGTGTAAAGGTTTCAGTATTTCAGGAGAGCAGTTTGACAACAAGAAGCCTGAAAAAGTCAACAGCAAAATAAAAATAACCTTTTGGGTAAAGGTTTACTCTACTGAGTTTGAATTCTGTGTCAAATAGCTACTTTGAGTGGTTTGTTAAATTTAATTTGATAGACACTTAGATTGTGGCATTAATATAAAATCGGGAATAATATTAAATGAGTAAAAACATTCAGTGTTAATTATGAGTTTAATCTTCGGAATTTTATTCTTAAACATGGCGTCTTGGTGTAGTTGTGCAAGTATGCTGTCGTGTTTTTAGAAAGAACAAACATGTTTTCTAGCAGTTTGATGTTTTTTAATATCATTTTGTATAATATGTTTATGTATTTATCACCAAATATTTTCTTTATGAGGAGATAATGTGAAATGAGCATATTATCAAGGCAAATTGAGTACTAAGCAATGTTTTTTGCTGTGGAATTGCTTCTGTCATTTCACTTTTTCTTTTAGTAATTACAAATTTGAAAATTATAATCTAACTTTAAGGTTAAAAAGGTAATCTCTCTAGAGCCTTTAATACTTGTCTATTGTGTTGAAATGATACTTTGTCTCCTCAGTAGTCCCCATCTCAGTTTCTTAAGCTAGAGACCTGGAATCTTAATACTTCTGCATTACAGGGAGTCCAGTTTTTGATGAAGTCGTGCCTGCCTCCAGAGTGTTTTGAATTTACCACTCTTCACTATCTACTGACAGTGCCCTGGTCAAGGACACATTAGCTTTTCCTTGGGATATGGTGGTGGTATCATAACTCTTTTCTTCCTTAGTCTTCCCCTCACTCAGTCCATTCCTTTTTATCTATTTTAACTTACATTTTATTGAGGATACACATGTACCATGTTTGAGAAGTCAGATACCTCCATAAGAGAAGAAAATAGAGCGATACCCTAGTCCAGTTACTCCCACTTTATCAGCTTCCACCCACATCTCGTAGCTGTTCCTCCATGGAGGAACTAATGTGCATTTTCCAAATAATACAACTGAATCTTTTTTTTTTTTGATTATTTACAATTTTATGTATGATGTGTTAGACTATCATCAATAGAAGATGATTTTATTTTCTTACAGTCTCTCCCCTACATTTACACAATTTACTTCCCCTTCTTTTGCCCACACTTGTAAAAACTTATTCTTTGCAATTAAACTATGGTTACTTAACTTTTGCTTTCCTCTAGCTAAGAATTTACGTTAGCTTTTTCTGTATCTGGCACTCATTTTCTGCCACAAGGGAATGTATATAGTGTCTCTTCTCGTTATGTTCAGACCCTTCAGGAATCTGGTTTCATCTTCAGAGACATCTCTCTCTCGGGAGGCTCTATCCTCTTGCTGCTCTCTCAGCTCTTGTTCTTAAAGTGCTTGCCTTTTCCCTTTACTGTTGACCAGGGGATCCCCAGTATTTTTGTTCTACATTGGTTCCTCAGTTTCCCGGACCAAACGTCTTACTTTTTTCCTAGTTTGTTTGGGTGGAGCATCTATTCTGCAGAATCAAAGTGCATGGAAGGCAATTTCTCTGAGATGCTCGTGCCTGAAAATGTCTATAGTCTACTTTCATACTTAATTGATATAGTCTACTTTCATACTTAATTGATATTTTTGTTGGATGAAAAATTCTAGAAAATAGAGAATTTGAAGGCAGAATTGAAGGCATTGCTTCAGTTGTCTAATTCCAGTGCTACTTTTGAGATGTTTGATACCTGAAGGATTCCTGGTTTTCTGTATGTTTGTTTTTTTGTTTTGTTTTTGAATCTCTGATACATTTTATGATCTCTCACTATGCCTTAGTTGGAGTCTTTTCTTTTTTCTTTTTATTCATTGTACTGACCACCACGTAGGTGTTTTCTTTAAGTTTTGAGACATTTTCTTGAATTGCTTTTTTGACTACTTTTCACTAGTTTCTCTGTTCTCTCTAAAAATTCCTGTTCTTCAGATACTGACTCTTGTGGACTCTTAATTAACATAAAACTGTTTCTCTTCTATTTTTAGCTTTTTGTTTAAAAACTTTAATCACTTCTTGTCACAAATTTCTATTGACTTTTTAATTTCTCTCACATTTTTCATTTCTAAAAGCTGTGTTTTGTGCTTTGACTATTTCTTTTTTATGTCCTCCTGTTTTCGCCTGGTGGGTGCACTATCTTTTCTCATTTATCTGAGAGTAATAATGATATGGATTTATCTTTATCTTAATTTTCCTCTGTTCCCTGCCCTACCTCCATTTCCTCAGAGTTTTTTATCTTTTTCCCTATGGTTTTTCTCTCTCTCGCTTTTGTTGGATTGCAGAGGTTTTTTAGCCTATTTTGGACCTTGGACCCGTTTGGCAGACTGAAACCTATGAAATAGAAATCCTTCTTTAAAATCAAAGGAAATCAGTTCTATTAAAATAATGTAGCAAAATATTTTTTGAAAAATTATACAGCAATATGGGTACTTTTTATTAACATATTAAAACTAGAGGTGGTTTAATAACTACCATAAGTTTGAAGTATTGATGTGCATAATGATATTTTTGATATCTCTGTACCAAATCTAATTTGATATGAAAGTATCTGTGATTTTTATTGGTGGCAACATCACATATATTGGCAATACCACTGTATTCTATAGCCTACATTTATAATTTAAAGGAATGTCTTATATCACTGATTGTCAACTCAAAGAAGCAGATTCTAAAAAGCTGATTATGTACTCTAAGATTAAATTGAACTTGACAACTCGTAATCTTCACTATATGTTGTGGAATGCTCAACTTTTATTATCTGTGGATCTTTCCTCTTGAGATTTAAATCTCTTTGGAGAAGAATCCACCAATTTTCTGCCTATGGCATATAAGTTTACCTTTATTTTACAGATGAATCATTTTACTCTCGTATATTCTAATCACATTTGTTTTTGTGACTTAACTGAATCGGTATCATATTCGATATGTTCCTATTAAGTAAAGTGGTTCTAGGAAGGGCACAAAGTGTCTTTAATGATCTGTAATACAAGAGAAAACTGGGCTGTTTCTTGAATTTAATTTTCACCTTAATTTCCTAGGAGCTTTCAAGTTGTGGATGGAATAAAAAAGAAAAATATAGTTCTGCACCAAATGCAGTTGCCTTCACAAGAAGATTTAATCATGTGAGTTGTTTATAAAATTTTGGCACCTAGTTTCTGAAATTCAGTTCCTCAATACACATTTTTTTCATTAAGAAATAGTATAACTTGGGTGGTACCTATGGTTCAGTGGGTAGGGCACTGGCCCCATATCCCAATGATGGCAGGCACCTGTAGTCCCAGCTACTTGGGATGCTGAGGCAAGAGAATTGCCTAGGCCCAGGAGTTGGAGGTTGCTGTGAGCTGTGATGTCACAGCACTCTACCGAGGGTGATAAAGTGAGACTCTGTCTCTTAAAAAAAAAAAGAAAGAAAAGAAATAGTATAACTTCTCACATCAATTCTGAACTTTGGAGAAATTTTGTCTGTTTCTCTGCATGAGCTCTGGATTTTTTTCTCTGTAATT